ATAAATATCTTTTATTTTATATAAATTTTGTTAATTGGTATACTTATTTTTGTTGTTGTTTATTTATTATTATTTAATTTTGATATCAAAATATGTAATTGCAGAAAAAAAATATGATTCTATTCTACGGCTGTTGTGAATTTTTCGAGACGATACTAAAAATATTCTATATCATGCATATTTAACAATTAAAAAAAGGATAGGATACTTTTAACTCTAACATGCTTTTAAAGAGTTACGGCGTATAATTTATCGAGCACGATCTGAAAATACTTCCATGATTACTGATCAATAATTTTAGTCCAAGGTGTAGGTTGAATGACGTAAGTTGAGAACTGAATTCGAAAGACAGGAAATTCGTGGGAATATGTACAAATTTACTCCCTCTTTCTCTATCTTTCTCTTAGTCATTTACAAGTGTTTCTAACCCAATTCCTAAGCTGGTATTAAAACTAAGTCGACAAGTTTTTCTTCCTTCATCAAAATAAGGGACGAACCACGAGTTTGAGACGATATCCAAAAGACGATTATCGTCTTTTCTATCCCACAATCTCTTCCTCCGCCAACTTTCAACCAGTCGCATATTTGAAATAGTCGATGTGATGGGTCTATGATAGACTGTCGTGACGATTTCATTCCATCTTATTCTATTTTTGTATCCACCTCCGTAAGAATTTCTAGCCAGCTTATACTCATGATTTTTTTTTAGACGATTTTATATTTGCATAATGTCTATTTGTATACTTGTATGCATATTACACGTATGCATGTATATGTGTATTTGTATGTATGTTACGCGTAGTATGGATTTGCAAATCTTTATGCATATTACATGTATATATGTAAATGTAAAGGTATAGATGTATCACGTATTCGTATGAATGTAGTTGTATATGTATAGGGTACGTATTTATGTAAATGTACATGTATATGTATTATACATGTATGTAGAGATATACGTATGTGTGTGTGTGTGTTTGTGTACGTAGGCTGAACACGATTACTCGTTTTCAGAAAATACATTGAAAATTTGCTAAGAAGTAGAATCTTTCGAAAATGAAACAAACGTGTTCTATCAACGTCTCGATCTCACGTTTACAGATCAAATTTAAAGATAGCCGATGTTATTTGCTATTTTTAATCTCGCAAGATTTTCGATTAGGCGAGAATTACATCTAAGGTTTCTTTTTTATCTTCTGGTAATCTATTTTTATTCTAAAATAACAAAGCACGTTTTCTTATATCGTTTTAAAAGCTTATATTAGTTAAGTGATTTATTTTGGAAAATTTGTCTGTATAAATTATGACAACAAATTTATTGTTATTTATGAAGATGCGTGTTCCAAGTATTTTTGAAATTGTATTTATGGTATTATCAATTCTTATATAATTTCATTATGTAATGAAAAATTGTGTAATACAAATATATGTATGCGTGATCTGTATATGTGTATGTGTGTAAGTATATATTTTTATTTTAATATGCAAATAGTGAAATCATAGAGTCAATGCACCGTTTGTATGCTGTCCCATCGGAGAAACTTCGAGTATGGTCTATTTGGTTGTCTCAAATCACCGATGAAGCTGAGATATGGCAGAAATGGTTATGTGCACATATCGATCTTATCATACGAATGGCAGAAAATTTGAAAGAACTCGAAGAGGAGGATGTTTCCAAGCCAAGAAAATTCTGGGTAAGGAATATTTTTCTTCCTAAATATCACATCAATTTTATGATAAAAACGAAAAAATGTGCAACAAAAAATTCATTATAAATCTATGAAAATGATCGTAGAAATCATATATCATTTATTTTTCACCATGAAAATATTTTTATAAAATAATAAAAAAGTTTATTTGAAATTTTTGAAAAACAATCATAAGCGAAATATAGAATTAATTTCGATGTATTAAATCATAAAAATGAAGAAATTATTTATTTAAAATGTTTAAAAACGATCGCAGAATTGTATAATACAATATAAAAATTGAAAAGTAATAAGGTTTGATTGAGATACAAAAGATACCGTTCTAGAGACCTAAGAAACAAAACATAATATATCTACGCAGGTCGAAACATAATGTATGTAAACATAGTGAGTGTATATGTTACCGAAGGTCTTCTAGGAATGACGAGAATTCGTGGAATTTGGACATAAGTCGTATACGCTTACGTAATATAAACAAATCAGTCTCGAGTCAACTACCGACAACTTATAACGTGTTTGGAATATCTTCGAATGAAATCTAGATAATCTTACCATTATTTTACGGGATCATATAGGCAATCATTTTTACGTACAACTATTCTAGGTGAGGCATAAGTCGTATATAACAAGTGGGTTTTAGGTGTACTGTTTTTATTATTTTATAACTCTAAATATTTGTGAAAATGCACCCTTTTTTAAAATTATATTCACACACAGCGCCGCTAATTATAGACTAATACACTACTACAGCTAAAGGAATAAGAATCTATGTGATATTTCTATCCGCGTTTTTTCGCAAACGACTAAATACATTCGCCATGTTTAAAGGCACAATAAATATTCTCGTGGACTATTACAAGTGTGCAAAATTTGAAAAACATTTGAAGGTGGTCATACCTGACTATCCCCTTGTTAGAAAAATAAGTTTTTAATTTAAAAAAATGTTAGTAATTATAATAGAATATAATATAATCGCTCTTGAATTTAAATAATCTTTTTGTTCGATATTTCAATTAAATAAATAAGAATTAAAAAGAAATAAATAAAAATGTGATTTAAAAGTTTTATGTATAAACGTATTTAATTTTTCAATTTAATTGATATTCACAGAGAGCTGATCAAATACGAAGGATTTTCGCATACGAAGAGGATGCCATGGAGGAGGACGGTATCGAATATCCAGAAGGAGTGGAAGATTTTTACGACAGTAAGATACGCATTTACTTCGCTGATAAACGAAGATTTTAATCGATTATTTTGGGAGAAATAGTGACGATCTGCTTTCTCTTCGTTTCTTTTTCTCTCTCTTTCTCTTTTTATTTATCAGTGATAAAGGAGTGTTTGCTAGTTTCAGTGAATACACACTGAAGTATGATACTTGGATTATTAGATGTAATTCGAGGACGAATGGTCCATTCATTCCTGGATTATAATATACAGGAATCACCTCATTGAAAAAAACACAAAACCATAAATATTAAAATTGGTTTATAAATAAAATTACAATATCTTATCTTTCATTTTTAACATGTTAATCTTTAGTTGGAGTGTAGTTTAAAAAAATATAGGCCAACAATGTAAACTATTACAAACATCTGAAATATTTGTAATTTCTTAATTCAATAAAGAAAACATTTTAATTAAATAGAAAATGTTTTGGACATCCAGTGTATATGTAATTTCTTTTGGTATATTAATATTCGTTGAAAGTATCTTCTTTTTATTAATGAAAGAAAGAAAGAAAAAGGGATGAGATAGGAGGAACGGGGGGGGGGAGATAGATAGGAAGAGATCGTAGGAATTTAAGCGGAAATGTCTGATTTATAGAGAGTAGCAAGTTATAAACGTTTATCATTCTGTCTTGCTTTTCAAAACAACTAATCAATATTTATGTCTCGCTTGGGATGACAGAACTCTCCTTTTCATATCGTTTGATTCACTTGCTGGATAGATATATTTTACAAAAAGACGAGGAAACATCCTGGAAGAGCTTCACAGTTTTTTTTTTCTTTCTCTCTTTCTCTTTCTTACTCAGTCACTCTTTCACTCTTTTAGCTTTCAAACGATAGATTTGCTTTACAATTTTTCAACGTGAAGATGATACGCAATATACCCTTGCCTTCAGATTAATCCAATAAACGCCAAACTACTGCTTCCTCTTTTGTCCTCTTATCTTTCGTTCTTCTTCTTTATTATTATTCTTGTTATTACTGTTATCATTTTCCTCTGTTGTTTTTTCACTCTCTTCTTCTTTGTTGAAATAGAAGAATCATTGATAATTACTAAGTTTCTTTCTCAAAGTAGGATGGATATATTCAAATTGTTGTTTGCTAAACTTTATCTCGTGTTTCGTAAGAACAAACGTTTGTTAATATTTCTAGAATTATTCTGGAAAATGTTGTATGTGATTGACGTTAAAATACGAAAGAGAGAGAGAGAAAGAGAAAAAGGTTAGGTTCAATGGGGTGAATATTACGTTTTCTTTTACTACTCTTTAATTCTCTTAGATTCTAACGAAGTTTTTTGGTTTTATACTAAATTGTTGATAAGGTATTATTGCGAATGTAAATCCTTTGAATCTCTTCAAGTAATTTTTGGTTTAGCAAATTTCTATATTCTTTATATTTTCATTTAAGACCACAATAATTAAATTGTTATTATTTATTTTCTTCATAAATTTTGCGTTCTACTTTCGTTAGTAGAAAAAAATATATAAACGTTTAATAATTTTATATGCGAGAGCAAAATGAATAATGCTAATTGCAATGATGTTATAATTATTGTGTGAATAATTAATCATTAGAAAAAAAAAAAAAAACAAGAAAAAAAAATCAAAAGAAGGTAGTATATTTTATTTGATCATACATTTAGAATCAATCGATAAAAATAATGATCAAATAACGCGTATAATCGTTTCCCCACTTGACCTATATTTTTATTTTGCATTTTAATATTTATCCGAATGATATCGTTCGCATTCTCATTATATCGAGTGGCAAATTAATTTTGTTCTTTTCCTTTTTTCCTTCCGAATAATTTCAAAATATGTGAATATCCGAGCGAAGAAATGAACGCGATCGAGCTTCCTTTATAAAGAAAAAGAATATCGTCGATCCAATTAATTGAAAAGCCATGAATCACTTGATTACCTCGAATGATCTTGATTCCCCGTTCATCTTTTTTTTCTACTTTTCGCTACGAGTGCTCATCTTTCTCTCTCATCTTTTTTCACTTTAATTTTCTATTAGTCAAGCAAACTTGACGTTTAACAATCTTTCTCATCTCGAAAATCACTGCCGTGGCTATTAAGTATTCAAGTGATTATTTCATTTGATTCACAGGGGTTTCTACTCTTATCTTCCTTCATTATAATCTAGAATAATTTTCAGTTAAATCGAAAATAAAATAAGTGAGGTATAGTTAAACGCAAAGGAAAATCTCTCCATTCGTTAATATTTCGTCTAGTAACTTTATTTTATAACAAATTTTACATGTACGTGGGGTGATTGAAAAGTTTGGATCTCAACATTGAAACAATTTTTTTTGCCAAAGTTCATAATATCTTTTACGTTGTACACATAACAGACGTGGAAATTAATTTATATTAAATTTATTTAAAATAATTTATCCCCGAAATATTACACTCGTTGAAATAATTGAATGTGTGTGTGTGTGTGATTAAAACTAAATAAAATATTTTTCTTTTTCCAAGTATTTTTAAAAATATTTTTGTTGTTCTCCGATTCACGTTGCATCATCAATCACAGTTAAATAAATAAATTGTAGGATCATAAAAAAAATAAATGCGATTATGATTAGAAAATGATAAGATTCCCCCTGGGCTTATAAATGTTTAATAAAAAATTTGTTATGCCAGTCGAACAAGTGCTGGCAGATATCGTAGCCAGTGAGGAAAAATCAGTCGAGGAGAAGAAGGTAGAGAAGGAGGAGGGGATTGAAGGAGGAGAAACAACGAACGAGAAGGTGGTGAACGAAACTGGAAAGAAAACTGAGGAGGAGAAACGTATGAGTGGTGTTACCGACCAACCAGAGGAGACTACCAACGAACAAGATACGTGAGTAAGAACGTGATTCGAATAAATTTTGATCTAGGATGTGTAACTTGATCATTTAAAATACTCTCTCTTTCTTTTTCTCCTTCCTTTCTTTTTATGTTTTTCTTTTTTACTTAAAAAAATGTCTCTCCAACGGAGAAGAAAATTAAGATCTTTTTAATCTTTACTTTTTAATTTTTTACTTGTTGAATAAAATGCAGAAAATATTTATTTCTTTTTAAATGTTAAGTAAACGTGGTAAAAAATAAATTTTGCAAAGTATGTAATATGATTTTTAGATACTTCATAAAGAAATGATTTTTATTTGTTTAATTTTGAAGAAATGTTAAGAATGCTTTGAAATACTTATATGTAATGGAATAACATGTATTTATTAATTTCAAATGATCATATTTATTGTGAGATACACGTAACAAAGTTTTTGATACTTCGTAGATTAATGATCCTTACTTTTTTAATAATGGATAAATATTTACAATAAATTAACGAATATCCGGATTTTCTTCGTAATCGTCTTTAATCAGCTTTAGTAAGATCGATCTTACTGGGGAAACAGAGAAAGTCGAGTCGGAATAATCGTGTAAAAAAGATAAGGGTGCGGTCGAGGGATGAATAGAAAGAAGAATGATTTGTTTTCTATGATAATCCGAAAAACAAAGAATTTATAGTTCTGATCGATAAAATTTCTAACATTAAATCTATCAATAGATACAATAGTTTATCCAATTAACGATCGATAAAATTAGTACTGTATTTAAAATGACAATTTTATTAGTTTTAATATCATATTCAAATTGATTTGTATAATTTTGTCACAACTATAACAATTTGCTTGATTTATTTATATCGAAAATTAGTTGAATTTTTCTACGCGCATAAAATAATTTCGACCAATATCATAATTACAAGAATAACGTGATTCTTCTCTTAGTATTATCGATGAAACGAAGGATAAGGAGGAAGAAGTCGATGAAAAATCGGAGTATTTGAAAGAGTGGCCAGTGGGAACACAATGGGAACCCTTTGGAATTCAGGAAGAAGAGGATCGTTCGGATATTATCGAAGTAACCCACTCTTGCCAATACCTTTCGTTTCGTAGATCCACATTTAATTCGTAGCTCGTTAAATAAAACGGCTTCACCGAGATAGAAATCTTGTAAAGATCAGAATAATGATAACGAGATTAGACGGGTATCAAGAACTGGATACGATATTACCTATGATTCGTGTTCGAATCATATTTTTCGATAGACTAGTATTATCTATGATTTTACAAGAGAATAGATTTATCTTTTTTCATTTATTTTTTTATTCGCTAATACGAAATTAATATTTTTTAATATATAAAATGTTACAAGAATATTGAAATTTAACCTTCTATTGTTCTATCTTGTACCTTGTATCTATCGATTATTAAATATAAGAATAAGTAAGTATCTTTAAAAATTGTTAATATATTATAAATTTGTATTTAGCGGTTAACATTTGTTAGAAAAACAGAAAAAACTGGGCCCATATTAGATTAAATGAAGAAAAACGAAACAATAAATAAATAATAAACTTTTTCAAATAAAAATTGTAGCCAATAGAAATGCCGAAAAGTGCAGAAGAAATGCGACGATTCTTAAAGGATTTTACCTATCAAGCAACGATCTATAGATCTTATTTCAAACACTGGTGGGAGACTAGCGAGCAGGTAAACTTAACTCGACGATCTTAATCTTTTACTTATTTTAAAAATTATTTATTTATATGTATATATATATAAAACAAAAAGTTGACTTTTGTATAAGAATGTTGATTGAACAATGCTAGAGGTGTTAGTTGTTCGAACGATTTGTAACCAGAGACAAGAAATAATAGAAAAGGTAACAGTTAGCGTAATTTATGTAAACAATAGGATTTGAAATAGGAAAATTGTTTTGCTTGAAGAGAATAGAATGTATTTTGGTGGCATGTTTACGGTACAGGACGCATGTATTCCTACAATGTAAAGTTCTTATCCGCATGCTTCGAGCGTGCGGAAATTTACGTGAAAAGCAGAGATCGTCCATCCTTTCGTTGGCTGGCTGGTTGGCTGGTTGGTTGGCTGGTTGGTTGCCTAACGAATTCAATTTCTAGAAACAAATAAATTGTAGGAAATGCAAATACCCGAGCGATATAGAATCGGTC